AACTGTGGTGCGTAGTGGTAATGGACAATGCATCATGGGACTGGTATATACGGTAGTACTGTTGGATAAACCACCCACATTATCTACTAGAAAAAGTCAATTGCAACTGTGGGAAAAAAACTATTTTTTACAGGATGTCCTTAAATTACCCTCATACGATTGTCAATACAACGCTATTGAAATAGGGGTTTTGTAAACTCAATTATAAGAAGCACATAAGTTTTCGACATTCATCCAAAAATAATGAAAGTTAATAGCTTCAGACTCCTTCCAAATGTACTCTAGAGATGTGGAAAAATTTTAATAAATAATGGACTCATATTTGTACAACGAAGTAATGGATTCTGAGTTTAAATGGTAGGTAGAATTAAATTTTTAATAAATGAAAATAATTAAAACACGTGCAGAACTTTGTACCAGTATCGGAAAGAATACTACTAATTCAACTTACAACAACACCAGTAAACCTAAATATAGTTCAGATTTACGCACCTACGGCGGAAAAGCTAGAATATATCGAGCAATTTTATGAACAGTTAGAATCCACAATAAAACATCTCCGAAAACATTACCAACGATAACAATGGAAGATTTCAACGCCAAGATTGGAAAAGGAGCTCAGGATAATACTGTTGATCCTTATGGTCTTGGAGAAAGAAATGAGAGAGGAGACCGACTGAAAATATTTGCAACACAAAACCCTATAGCCATTATGAACATATTTTAGATTGTCTCCTCGACGATTATACACGTGGAAATCTCCCATGGATTCATCTAATCATATTGGCGGAAATCAAACTGACTACATTCTTGTAAACAAAACATTTAGAAATAGCATCCAATCAATAAAAACGTATGCCGGAGCAGACATACGATTAGACCACAACCCATTGCTAGGACAATTTAAAATCAAACTAAAACAGTATAAGAAGAAAGAAATAAAAATAAAAATATCAGCAGAACAACAATTACAAAAAAGACTGTAAAACTCCTACACGGCAGAAGACATAAACTCCGAAATAAACATATTGATAACAATACTACAAGAAATTAACGAAGAGCACAACACAAAACGAAAAAGAGAATCTGCATGACTGATAACATAATAGAAATGATGAATAAACGAATAAGGTATAAGAACAATAAAGAAATATATTTACAAGTATACAAAGAAACCTATAAAAGAAATATGATAATTTCAACTTACACAAAAAGGTAAAGAAAACAACGGGAATTGACACAACTCAAACAATTGGAAGACTAACCGACAGCCAAGATAATATAGATAAAAAGACAAAGTTGGCAGAATGGTAAGGATACCTTGAAGACTTATTTAATTATCATAGAAACCCAATGTGAATATAGACCACATTAATGCAAGAAGATGTACGCAAGATCCGATGACGTTTACTCAGAAGTCCTCAAACACCTTGATTACAATACAACCAAATGGATTACAAAAATCTTTAATAAATACTTAATATATACAATACCGGTGTGGTTCCTAGTGAATGGTTAAAATCGATGTTTATAGCCATACCAAAGAATCCGGCGCCAAAGGCTGTAATGACTATCCAATAATTAGCCTCATGAGCCATCTGCTAAAAATCTTCTTGAAGATAATCCACCGTCGCATCCACAAACTTTGTGAATCTCAGTTAGACAAGACTCAATTCGGATTCCGAGATACATTAGGTACTGGAGATGCATTCTTCGCGATACAAGTATCAGAAAGCCGTCGTCAGACACGAAAAACTGATTAAAGTTCTGAGAAATACAGGGTCAGATGATAAAAACCTGCAGATTATTGCCAATTTATATCAGACAGCAAGCATCAAAATTAAAAGACCACCACTCCAAGAAGATTAAGATAAAACGTGGAGTGAGACAAGGATATCTTCTGTCTCGATTACTTTTCAACATCTACATAGAACACATTTTTAGGGTGCTTTTCAGGACGTAGATGAATGGCTGTTAGTTAGAGGAGAATGTCTCAATAGCATCTGTTACGCAGATGACACTGTGATTTTCTCAAACACCCTGGAAGGCTAACAACGTCTATTATCATACGTTGTCAAGTGAATAATTAAACCAAATACATGGTTATTAGCAAAAGTAATATACAGCCTGGACCATTGTATGTAAAACAGCAAACAATAGAAAAAGCTACTACATACAGATCTTTAGGATGTACAATTAACGAACAATGAGATCATTCACTAAAAGTATATTCTGACTGTCGCTACACCAAAAAAGATACAAGCATTTGAGATGTAGTTATACAGGCGTATTCTGAGAATATGATGATGGGTGAATCAGGTGACGAATGAAGTGTTGAGACGCATGAACAAGAGGTCCGAAATCATAGATACAATTTGCTACAATTGATCTTACAGGGCAAAATACAAAGTGAAAAAGGACCGGGAAGGAGGAGCATGGCTGAGGAACCTGAGAACATGGTTTAACATGAATACGACAGAATTGTTTCGAGCAACAGTTAATAAAGTTCATATTGCTATGATGATCGCTAATACCCGGAACACAAGAAGAAGAAGAAGAATTACAGGACCACTTGTGGTATTATTTCTGAAAATATACTAGAAAACGATGGAACAATTGGCCAATTCCAAATTTTAGTCCACAAAAATTGTGTTCTACGCTTGGGGCAATCAACAGAATTTTTTGCAACTGAAATAATTTCTTTTTTTGATATAAATATTCAATCAAATTATCAAGTTCTGAATGTTTAATTAACTAGTTTCTTGGTAACTATGGTTAGGTTTTTGACACAATTCATAACCTTAAATTGGTGACAACTCAAACCGACAGAAAGAATGTCAATCTTTCTCAACAATCTTTAGCTTACTTAGGTATGTACTATCAATCAAGTTGCTGCAGTCTAAAAAGGTGAATGTATTATAAAAATTTCACTGATTTAAAAAATATAATTATCTAATATCGTTGCTTCACTTGACGTAGTAAATGCAGTATTTTATGTTGTTTATCTTATTGATTAAAAGTTTATTTGCTGAGAATTAGTGACTTATTTTTAAATACCCACCTTATATTCAGATACATTAAAATTCTCTATTTCAATTCACTCTATTATTTACCAATTAATAAGGTTCACATATTCAGATATGTCTACTATGTCTTATTATTAATTCTGTGCCGCATCCATATTCTTCATATTGTATGTTCTTATTTAAGTTGAAAATTTGTTCAAATATAATAGGTATATATATTAAAAGAGGTTAAAGAACACCGGTAATATCGCTATAGGTTTGTAACTAAACGGTGAATTTCGGCCTATTTAAACGGGGCGGGAAAATATACTTAAAGAATGCACGACTTTATGATTTCTTCTAAAGGTTCAGTTATCTGATCTCGGCAACCTTTAATTAAACTAATAAATCATCTTGGTTCCTTTTTTTAAAGGATTTATGGCTTCCTATATATCATATTTAGTTATCGGATTTAGAAATCACGAGTGAAAATGATGAAACTTTATTTCAGGAAATCCATTTAAATATTAAAATGATTTTAACTTTTTTTAAAAGTTGTTGATTAGATTTTCACCGCTGCTAACCAAATATTTACTTATTAAAACATTTAAGGTTAATGCGTTGAGCTTTTACGTTAATTGCGCTTTAATTTACGGTTTACTACTGACCACAATGTTTTGCATTATTTGCCGACCGTAATCTTTTAACTGAAAATACCTAATTGATTATATTCAGCACCACAACCAACCTCATTTTTCTTGCTTTTAGCAGGATTACTGTTGTGTGCCTTCTACATTGTACAGATAGATTAAGGTTTCTTTAGCTTCAGTGTCATTTAATATACTTGTTTTTTTGTTAATTAATTTTCAGTGCAAGAGCATGTTCATAAGATAATAACATATACTCTTATGCACAAAAGTATCAAACTGGGTACCATTATTGTATGCATATGTTTATATTTCGCCCCGGAAAGATCTGCTATGAGGTCTCATAGGTGTGACAATCGCGTGAAAACAGTGTCCATTGTTGTCTCTTAACGAGAGGAATCAGTTGTTCATGAACACATTTTAGGTTATAATGGTCAATGAGCAAAAGCAGACAAGCGTTGTAAATCATAAGTTATAACATGAACATCATTTGTAATCACCATTACAAATGTGAGTAGTTTCGTGGGGGCTTGCAATTAGCATTTTAGAAACAGAAAGTCAGTGTTCACTTTTTGGTGGACTCTGCTTTAAACCCCTTCCAATTAAATTATTAATACATATCAGATGTGCTGCTACTAACAACAATTTTTTTTTAACAAACGCTTTCAGCTTAAAATATATATTGAATTGAAATTCACTTGTGGCAGATCACGAGTTACAGCAAACTGCAAGTCCTTATCGCGTATTTACAATGATCCGCCGGCTTTAGAGAATTACCCTTATCGGTGTTTACTGGTTGCTATAAAAATTTGCAAAGCGGCTTGCAATCTTCGTCCCTGAATTGCTTTATCTAAATTTGCAAATTACAAACACTTATCAAATTTGGCAGAATTTAGTAAACTGCCCTCTGTAAGTAACTAATTTTAAAATTACATTTTGATCGTAAAACAAAATGTATGACTTTATGTTATCAAATTATCATTGCAACGCATAAAAACAGAATCATTATTATAAAATGAACTTTGAAATGTATCCTTAAGGTTGGATCAGGTCAGGTAAGGTCAATACTTTTAAATAAAATTTTTACTTACCCGCTTTCCATCAGTAATTCGGCGACTGTTCATGGGTATACGGCAATAGTTTTCTACATTTGTATGCAAAAATAATGTTATACTTATTCTATCTGAAAGCAGAAGAGTGCAACTGCACCACGAGTAACATATAATACATTATGCCATTTGTTCCCCAACTAAAAGTTTTACTTTCTTTAATGTCTCGTCTTGGGATAAAATAATTATGAAGATTATTCCATATTCGCTTTTCGTGAAACGTATGTTTTTGTGTTTAGGGAGACATTGCTCATGTATTATGTCAAGCGTTAATGCAGCCCGACGGGCAATTAGCAGCGGTCCTCGAACTGTGGCGTCGGGAACATGAGGGTCCGTTTTATGAAGAGGATGAGGAAATTGCATCCAGTTATCTAGTCTGGGGAGGAATTGCCCTTCATTATGCCCATCTCTACCTCAATATGAACAAACAAAAAAAATTAAACGATTTTCTTCTAGCTGTTGTAAAGTAAGTCGCGTCCAGTGTCGGAATGGGTGCAGTAGATATCGAGGAGAATCTTTCATTGCCCTACTCCATTAGTTTTCCACTTCACAAGAAAGCAATTTACCCAAAATAATTCGAAATCGACGGGGCCTACGTTAAGTGGTAGTTAGAGGTCTTCTACGACTTCGCAGAATTCGTCATAAAACATGTGATTTTGAAATTAATCGTACTCCATTTATTCTGCGAAAAGTCTGGTTTAAATGATTTTTCACAGTGATCGCATTTTAATGTTTTATTTTATACATGTATACAAGTTACAGCGCCATCAATACTTTTTTAATGTACACTTTTTTTAAAAATAGATCAATAAACTAACGCAAAAGTAACTTCTCTAGAACTGCCTACCATAACCAATGGTATATAAATTTATATTCATCGAAAAGATGCAGTGATAAATTCATTGATATTTTTCGAAAACATTGAAACAGAACAATTAATTAATGTTAATGAAGTGATTCATATGTAGAACTTATTCGTCTTTATTTATAAACTAAATTCCGTTAAATAAGTTTATAAACAAGAAGTTATTGGAGGTGTCACCTTTTAGCTAACTTACCCTCTATACTGATTCGTTTTATTACATGAAAATGGCTATATTTTTGAAAATTAAAATACATATAAAAAGTCGTATTTACATGTCTAAATAATGTGTGCTATATCTGAAATAGTATATTATTAGCCAAGGTTGCAGAGCCAAGCATTCTAGACCGAGCGCAAATTAGAACCCGAGACGCGCAGCGTCGAGGGCTCTAAGTGCGAGGTCTAGAAGTGGCTTTGCAACCGTGGTTAATATACTATTTTTTTCACTAGTAGAAACCATAAGACAATAAACTGAAAAATAAACGTTCAATTTTTTGACACAACATGATTTTGTTTTGATTTCTAATCAAACTTAATCTAAATCTTCAACACAAAGAAAACCGTTTATATTTGTCGCTGAGTTAATCATTTTATCTTGTACCATCTACCAACTACCATGCGTATACTCAAGTAATGTTTGTAGCACACATTTGTTCATTTTTTAAGAAATAATCACATCAAACATTGCGTACATAACCTCAATTTTTCTTTTTGAACCGGTGGTAGCAAAAGTTGAATTTGCTACCACTAAATGAGTCGACATTTGCATGCGTCCAGGCTGCTAGTGAAAAAAAATATATTTTCATTATTCCGTGATCTTTGTTTTTAATTATCCAATTAATATGTTTAAAAAATTTTCTTTCCACTAGTGTATATGAAATAATCAAAAACGCTTTACAGTTGATCAGATAGTCTTCGGGTTTAAAAACACCCAGAGAGCGGATTTTGCTGGTAATAAGACGGGAAATAGCCAGCGCAATGATGCACCTGATCCTCGCGTCGAAGCGATTAACCTTCACGTGACTCACTGTACGGTACAAACAAGGGTTAATTTTTCCTTCAAATTAACACATATCCAGCGACGTTCATTACAAACTGACTATTATGGAGAATAATAACCTTCTAAAAAATTATTTCATATCACTACTTAATGATGCTTAATAATTGAATGAAAAAAGACTAATACAAGTCTAGAAAGAACTTTTTAATTGTCTACAACTTGTTCTACAAAAGTTTAAGTAAAATAATGAGGAAAGAAAATGTCTATGATTATTGCATTTGACGTGTAAAAGTACCACAGTCAATTCGATATAAAAGTAGGTGATCTAAAATTGCAAAAATAAAATATAGAAAAAGTTACTATATTGTGTGTATTATAGTATAACTACATAACAAATGATACACTGTATACAATCTACAAATTGGTGTATGGTAACTACTAGTAAGGCCCCTTCAGCGCACACTTTTTTAAGAATTTTATCCTGTTTTTTAAAGACGAAAAAAAAAGGTCAAAAGTAACATTTTTAAGTTTTTTACTAGTAAAGCCCCTTTAAGGACACAACACATTTTTAATGACTTTATCTTGCTTTTACCTTTTTAAAAAAGTTAAAATTTTAAGGACTTTGCCTTGTTTTTCGAAGTCACCCTTTTTAAAAAAGTCAAAATTTTAAGAAATCTACCTTGTTTTTATCAAATGTGCAATTGCAACGTTGGTGGGCTTTTTCTTAAAAAGAGTATACTTATAATTAAATATGTACTCCTATTTATTTATGAAAGAATACATGTTATTTAATCTATAAACAATGAATTTCTTCTCGAGCGATTATGGATTGCTGCAAAGAAAAAAGTTCAGTTAGCGGATTAGCGAGGTACAAAAAAACATGATGAGATTCAAGCGTAGGGAAACCATTTTTGGTAGATGTCTTTTACCTATACTCCATGAAGTGCCGAAAAGCAACCTCTAAATCATTTCTCTCTTGAAGATTTGTAAATATTATTAATGGATCCGGTTTTTGTATATGGGCATAAAGATTAATTTCGACAGAGTCGCAGTCGTTATGGTATGTTCCCACCTCCTCTTGCAAAATTGTTAAGTGCCGGCGCTGTAAACCACTTTGTATACTTGACTCAACCCTTTATATATACAATTATTATTCAATACTTGATAACAATAAGAAAGAATTATAATGTTTCCATTTGATTCATTATTAATTAACAACGAAAATAATTAATATCCAAACGGTACTGTATCCAAATTTTCTAGAATGACTCTCTTGTCATAAACGAAACCAAATTCTTTTATTTAAAGGTTCTTTAGTTTTAGTATATCTGGTAATTCGATGATATTGTGTACTGATTTTATTCTCTTTGTTTTCTAAAATATTATTTATACTATGGACGTTTCATAGTTTAATGTATATATTAGTGTCATAACAATAACTCTTTGGACCTGTTGATACCCAGTCAACAATCCATACGTCCCTACCTAATTCATTGGTCCAATCTCCCAATAGACATCCTGTTTTAATAGTGTTGCCATTATCTATATGTACAATGCTATCTGTATCACAATGAATTATAATATATATAATATATAATATATCTTACATTTTGTACAATCTTAGTCTAGCATTGCAGTTGTAAAAGCAGCAAATTTCATGAAATCTCTTGACATCTGCAACATATTCTTCTGTCCCCATATTTTGCTTCTGACCAAATTTACCCCATAAGGAATTTAAACATATTTTTGCTACAGCTCTCTTTCTAGAAATATTTTCTATTTTACCCAATTCAGTACCTAGATTTTCTTTTACAGCTATATTCTTCTTCTGAATCAAAATCTTTTATCCATTCACTTGTCTCTAACTTTATTTTCATAAATGTTTTTACATATCCTTTCACCAAATAACTCTATCATTTTTCAAAATTCATCAATAGTTATTATTTTATAACCTTTTTCCATCGCTTTTTGTACTTCATTTGTACACCATGCCCCTCTGATAATTCTTTGCGATCACATAATTTCTGATTATTTAATTTAGCACATAGTCCACATAGTCTTCACCAGATTTATATTTATTTTTTACTGCTAATACAGGATGATATTTTTTTTTGTGGTAAAATAGCACATTTTGTTAATCCATACCATTTTGAATTATATGTAGGAGGTTTGAATATTTTAGTAGGATGTCTAACTGGATAATCATCGTAACATTGTACTGTTGGATATAAACTGCAAATATCTATATATTTCATTTTCTTCCCCTTAACTTTCAATTTTTGTTGTATTAGTTCTTCATCCAAAAAATGCATTTCTAGGACTTTCAGTTCTTCGAATTTTTCAATTTTTTTTTTCAATTCGTTTCATTTCCAGGAAGTAATTCCAAGAGAATAAAAACAAGAGCGGCTCTGTGGTAGTATACCCCCCAGGAACTCGTATATATTCCTCGGAAATGTATTAATTTTTAGGAGTTCTTACATCGTTTTTAATGTAGTCTCGTAAATCATTATTTTGAATTTTACACGGAAAAAATATTTATTGCAAAGAGTGAAACGCCTTCTAAAGTGGAACATAAACGCTGCAACTAATTAATTGCTATTTATTTTTGAATGATTTTTTTAATACTGAAACAATGGTACAAAATTCGGGACATATGGAAAAAGTACCAACAAATTAAAATGTATTTTATGGTTAGCTTAGCCAATATTAAGAATGCTTCACTGAAACGTTTATTTATTTAACGCTGTCTTAACCTATAGATTTTTTATTAGGTGCAAAATTTATAATAGTTTATAGATCAGGTACATTTGTTCTACTGAATTGTTCCTTCGTCTACATAAAGATCACTGCGTCATGTTGCTTTTATGTTTGTAACAAAAAATCTACAACATTATATTACAAAATACAAACGAAAACACACAAATACCCTTGTAACACAAAAATAAAAAAACTGCAATTTCTAAGAAAAGTACGTAAAACTATACAAATGTAACACACGTATGTTATTTATTTGAATGTATAATTCATATGATGATAATTGACTGTTGTTTGTGTCCTACAAAAATCACTACGACTGTGATTTAAAAATAACGATGGTGCTATAACTCTGTTCGTGTAAACCAAATATTCCATTTTTTTAATGTAATTCATATAATTCACAAACAACCATATATTATCGATCTATTTCATCTGGATTACTGTTTACTTGTTTATATTTCTATTTTTAACACTGAAATTGATTTCTAACTTGACACGGATTATTCCCGACAATTTCAATTTATTATTATTGGCCTCCACAGACTTGAAACATTTATCAAAAAGCGTTCTGACTGATGATTCTTACGGATTATTAAAAATTCATGCAGTGTGCACTATTACTAGTTTGGCTCACACCTGAATTGAGACTTGTAATTGAAAATTTCCTTCCGTCACTTTTGTGTCTAGTCCGACACTGGTCACCTATTCTCAACAGTAAAGAAAATCGTATTAAATTTGCTGAATTCTTTAGATCAATTTTCCAAGACATGGTCAGCATGGATGCGCTCGTAATAAAGATAATGAATTTTGCCCAAAGACTAGTCGATGCGGATAGAGCTTCCTTGTTTTTGGTAGACAGTAAAAGTAAGGAATTGTATGCGACTATATTCGATGTGGGAGTCGAGAAAAATCCAGATGAGTGTTCGAATGGGCCCGGTGACAACGAGGAGTTCGTAAAGGTCGACACGTCAAAGGAAATACGTTTTCCTCTTGGGACAGGAATCGCAGGCCAGGTAGCTATGACCGGGGAAGTTCTCAACATCAAAGATGCTTACGCCGATGCGAGGTTTAACCGCACAGTCGATCAACTGACAGGTAAGTTAGGTCCCATGTTTCATTAAATAGTAATGTTTACTGACATATAAGGAAGACTACACGTAGTAATATTTTGTATTTAACTAAAGTGGTTCGCATGGCAAATACGGACAGAGCAAAACATGTGAGTATTTGTAAAAAGCCTTTGATACGTGTCGTGTTTCAAGTTTTACGTCTGCTCTGTTTACTAGCAGAAAGGACGTGAAAAAGTAACTGCGTTAATACAATTACTCTAAAGAGTTTAATCAACATGGTCCAGTTCGTTTTCAAACGTAATGCCATTATTCCAAAATACGTATGTAAGGATATTAATGGCTATTAAAAATCTCACTCGGCATATACAACACGGAATCATATAAAATTCATTAGTTTTTATAGAGTGGGGTTCTGAAATTACATTTAGCTTTTGATTTTTAAATGACTAATGTCTGTACAAGCAGTATTTCAGCATGAGTTAATTAACGCCAACAGATTACACAACCAGCTTGATGGGAAACTTGCATAAAAACATCATCATAACTTCACAGTTATGAATAGTTCATTTCAATTGTTCCTGTAGATACCTCGAAAGGTAAACAAAAAAGTATTAAAAAATAAAATCTCTTTTTAAATGCATGCAAGGGATGATTTAAAAAAATATATTTGTACCATTGTATTCTAGTGATTATCTCAAAAACAGCACACCATAGCTTATAATACGTTGAACATAAAAAAAAACACAAAGCTGATAATATCATATACTCCAACAACTCCTCTAATGCTTTACTTGTGCTTTATTATTATACTGTCGCTTTCCATGTTGTACACCACATTATTCAATAAACTTTCATAACACATTAATTTACAAAATCAGCTCAGTCAACACTCGCTGCACTCGACTCGTTGACTGAATAATTATCGTTCCCGACGGTGGCCTCTATTTAAAGTCATACATTCCTCTGGATGGATCGTGAACGCCGCTTCGAGGTATTTCTGGACGCCGCAATCTAGACTTCCGGTAACCCGCTCCAGGCTTGTCTTTATGCGAACGCCGCCCGGTCGCCGTCACCGATGATGAGTCACCGGGGTGGCGTATGGGTTTATTTCGTAACAATATGTAATTTCAACACGAATCTGTGTTTTTCTAGTATTCGTACTCGTTGAGTAAACAGTAAACAGTATTGTATCTAAACAAAAACATGTGTCGAGATATTATAACGAACTTCTAACTTCTAAAGCGTCATCGGTTCCAGTATTGTGCTGCAGGAGCGAACGAAGTTCAAGAAAACTTATGCACGTAGTTTAAGTCATTTGATCGAGAAAAACTAGCTACTGCTCTTTCGCTACTAAAGTTCAAGTATAATTTGTCAAAATATGTATTATAAAACTATATGTATACAAGCAGAGCAAAATAAATGGTTTTGTAAGTATTTTACTGCAATTTTCAAAAAAAGGTCGAACAGGTCAATTTTAATTTTCAGGAAAACATATAATACTCCATTCTTGTGTGGGAGTAAAATGTATCCTCAAACTTTCGTATGAAACGGGATTGCAAAAATCACCCTAGTTAAAAGCTTTGCAAATTGCTTTACCATAATGCTTTATATCTGAAATCCCTTTATTAGTTTTCCTGGAAATGCACAGAACATAATTTGAAAGTTGTTTCAGTTTTATTAACTTATCTCAAATAACACCATAAATACCAAAAACAAAAAAACTGATTGTTACTTTACTTCCCGAGCGTAAGCAAAGGAAGTATTGTAATCGAGTCCGTCGGCCGACTCTATACTTTTACGTTTTCTCGATCTTTCATGACCCCTGGAAGACGAAGAAATAGGTCTCCCATTTCCGTCCGTCTGTCCGTCTGTCTGCCGTCCCGGATTTTTATTAGACAGATAATCTCCGAAAGTACTGGACCGACTGTTGTGAAATTTTGTACTTATATTAGGAATATCATGTAGATGGTAAAACGCTAACCAAAATTTGTCTAATCATCCCCACCACTAATGCGATGACGTCTCTTCAAAATTGTACATAGTAAATGGGTTTTAAATTGTATAAAATAACATAATCCTACACATGTAGTTTACGACTCCGAATTGAGTTTTGACCCGAAACGTCCAGATTTTTGAAAAAAAAATCAAAATCATAAAACAACATTTTGCAATTTAATTTTGAATCTGCTAACCCGAATGCTTGGAAATCTTGCAGATGTTTTAAGGTTATAAAAAGCATAATAAATGTTTAGTCAAAATATATTTGGTTATCCCCTCCAAAAACTTGATGACGTCAGCTCAAAAGTTTGCCGAATAAATCCGATCTAAAATGTACAAAATATGATGAGTCTGTACTTGTGATTTATCACTCCATTCATATTTTTTGGATTTGCATATACAGGGTGACCCAAAAAAAATAATGAATGCGTAAATGTATTTTATTGATTTAATCAGGAACTACAAAACCGAATGCTTTGAAATCTTGAAGATGTTTTAAAGTTATCATAAGCATGGTAAGTTTTTGATCAAAATATATTTGCTCATCCCCCCTAAAAAATATATGACGTCACCAAAAAATTTTGCTGAATAAATCCTATCTAAAATGTACAAAATATGATGAGTCTCTTCTTGTGATTTATCATTCCGTTCATATTTTTTCGATTTGCATATACAGGGTGACCCAAAAAAAAAAAATTACTGCGTAAATGTATTTTATTGATTTAATCAGCAACTACAAAACCAAATGCTGTGAAATCTTGCGGATGTTTTAAGGTTATAAAATGCATAATAAATGTTGAGTCAAAATATATTTGCTTATCCCCTCCAAAAAATTGATGAAGTCAGCTCGAAAATTTGTCGAATAAATCCCATCTAAACTGTACAAAATATGATGAGTCTGTACTTGTGATTTATCACTCCATTCATATTTTTTGGATTTGCATATACAGGGTGACTCAAAAAAATTAATTAACGCGTGAATTTATTTTATTGATTTAATCAGGAACTACAAAACCGAATGCTTTGAAATCTTGAAGATGTTTTGAAGTTATCATAAGCATGGTAAGTTTTTGATCAAAATGTATGTGCTCATCCCCCCTAAAAAATATATGACGTCACCACAAAATTTTGCTGAATAAATCCTATCTAAAATGTACAAAATATGATGAGTCTCTTCTTGTGATTTATCATTCCGTTCATATTTTTTCGATTTGCATATACAGGGTGACCCAAAAAAAAATAAATGCGTAAAGGTATTTTATTGATTGAATCAGGAACTACAGAACCGAATGTTTTGAAATCTTGCAGATGTTTTAAGGTTATAAAGAGCATAATAAATTTTTACTCAAAATATATTTGGTTATCTTCTCCAAAAAACTGATGACGTCAACTCAAAAGGTTGCCGAATAAATCCTATCTAGAATGTACAAAATATGATGAGTCTGTACTTGTAATTTATCATCCCAGTCATATTTTTTGAATTTGCATATACCGGGTGACTCAAAAAAAAATGCATGTGTAAATTTATTTTATTGATTTACTCAGGAACTACAAAACCGAATGCTTTGAAATCTACTGCGAAAAAAAACATAATAGGCTTGCAGTCGTCACGTTTCCGACAGTGAGGGAAGTACTGTCTAAACTCTTTAGACCAATTTTTTTTCATAATAATGTTCTTTGTTTTACCCAACTTCTAGAGTATGAAAAGATTGGTGTCTCGTTTCTGTCTGTCTGTGGTCTGTCGTTTGCTGGCGATTTTATTAAACAGACAATTTCCGAAACTACTGAATTAATTGCTGCGAAACTTTGAGTGTATTTGCAAAGTTTATCTGATCATCTATCTCCAACAATTTTATGCGGTAGTCTCAAAATTTTGCAAAGTAAATCTTGCTTAAATTTTACAAAATTACATGCTTCTGCATTTGAAGTTAATCAATCCCCATCTTTTTGCCTTGGATGTCTAGATTTTTTGAAAAAATCAAATTTCAAATCAAACATTTTTTGCAATTTTACATACTTAGAAACTACAAAATCGACTGCTCTGAACTCTTGCAAACATTTAAAGTTATCGTAAACATGGTAAATGGCTAATTAAAATTTAGCTGTTTATAATATCTACAAAACTTGACTAGATCATCTCAAAATTATATTGAGTAAATCTTATCGAAGTAGTAAGTCATTCGTCATAGAACTGATGCTACTGTTTGGACTCTAATCCGAGAATATTTCACAAAGTCAATACGCAATAATCTGTATAAGAAATGTACTTGGAATTTTTAGAAGACTGTTAATATTGTATGAGTTGATACTTCAAGGAGACGGAGTTTCTCCGCATCATACGCTGTCTGTTCGATAATATTAGGGTATAGATTGACAGGACAATAGATTGGAAAGCGAATGGCCAGCGAGTTCACCAGATTTATTATTGACATTTGGAAATATACGATAATACATTGTCAACGTATGTCGTCAAATTACCTCAGCGATGTTATAGAATGTTCTAGAATGTTTTGAACGGAACCTCTATTCCTATATTATCAAGTCTAAAGGGAGTCACTTTGAACATTTATTACATGGGAATGAAAGCTACTTATTAAACCTCAACAAGGATTGTTCTTCATACATTTTTTCGAATACTGATAAATGGATTTAAAAAAAATACAAAATAAATTTATTAAGCTTTCAAGTGGTCTGATTTCTGCCATCCGTTTCCATTTAGAATTTTAGGTGTAAATTTTACACCCCCAGTGAAGCTAAAATTAAGGTGCAAAAATAGTGCACAAGTGAAATAAAATTGTCCCGTCCGAACCTTTTTTTGAAAAAATTACATTTAATAATAATTATTATTATTATAAAATATGATTTCGTTGTTAACAAATTTCGAAGTTACCATTATTTATTTGTTGTACTTTCTTTTATTGTGGGTAATGAAAGTAGCTTACGAAAACAAACATACATATTTTATTTCCTAATTATTAAGAAATCTTGATTTTAGGAAAAATTTACTCTTTATTAAACATACACATTTTATGTGAAACATAGGGTCAAGAAAATAAGTTTTTTCACTGGCAGCCAGGACGCATGCAAATGTCGACTCATTTAGTGGTAGCAAATTCAACTTTTGCTACCACGGGTTCAAAAAGTAAAATTGAGGTTATGTACGCAATGTTTGATGTGATTATTTCTTAAAAAATGAACAAATGTGTGCTACAAACATTATTGGAATATACGCATGGTAGTTGGTAGACGGTAGAAGATAAAATGATTAACTCAGCGACAAGTATAAACGGTTTTCTTTGTGTTGAAGATTTAGATTAAGTTTGATTAGAAATCAAAACAAAATCATGTTGCGCAAAAAATTGAACGTTTATTTTTTCAATTTATTGTCTTATGGTTTCTACTAGTGAAAAAAATAGTATATTAACCACGGTTGCAAAGCCACTTCTAGACCTCGCGCTTCAGAGCCCTTGACGCTGCGCGTCTCGGGTTCTAATTTGCGCTCGGTCTAGAATGCTTGGCCTTGCAACCTTGGCTAATAATATACTATTTTCATACTTCATTTAATTTTGTAAACGATGCAACCAATAAAATATAGTAGTATAAAAAAAAACCCTAAATTTTTATGGGACTCGTCCAGTAATTTTTGGTTTCTGGCTATTAGAGACGTATCGAAAACCAGTGATGGGGCCGGACATACAAAAAATAATTTCCCACTGTTTTAACTGTTGCAAAGTCCACATATCACAAGTACAAGACACAGATTTTTATTAAATATTGATCAGCCAAATACCAAAAATTTTAAAAACAACAACCCTGAAAAACGTGACGCAAAATTTTCCCTTAATTCATTCATATACAAGAAATGAGTTTAAATGGAACATAACATTTTAATAAAATTATCAAACAATAGGTACAAAGTGACGCTGAGGCCACGATTTACACTTTTAATTAAAATTTGACTGTCCTATTTTTTTCGTTAGGCAGATATACTTTAAAGCTTTGAAGTGATTTTTTTTTTTTAATAAGGATAAGTCGAATTAAAAAAACGTTATAGAGGGTTAAAGACGTTTCGCATTAACTGCACAAAATATTTGGACACATAAATTGTCGTTTTCATTTTATGAAACAAAAAAAACTTAATGATGTATTTATACAGACGGATGCTCTGAATCTGTTATCAACAGTAGTACAAAAAACAATTTCATGATGACTACAGGGGGGTCGATTGCAGTTATTAGAAAAAGAAAGTTCCAATTTATCTAATAAGGGCGTTTTTGCTCCTTGCCATTATTTCTTCTTTGATACGCTAATGGATATAACGACTAAAATATTCAGTGTACTTACTTTTGTTGTATAACGAAGCTACTTATTCACTTATTAATCGGGTAAATACATCATTCGAAGAGAAAAAGCTTTTACCTTTTAAAAATAGAAGTATTCAATTACAACAGTAATTACATACATTATCCCATTTTCATACTGTTCAGCTAAAAACCTGGCTTTGTTTCAGATGCCGAGATAAAATCGCTTATTCACCTTTTATTTTTCATAATAATACATACATTTTTCTTTATATGGATACATTGCTAATGTATTCTTAAGTGTTTTTGAGTAACGTATAACGCTATAGTTTAGTCTTTTTACATATTAATTTTTCTCTCAAAATTGTTGTTGGAGGTTTTAATAATATACTGATAGAGTGCAAATTTTCGCTGTAGGGTTTATTGGTTTTACTTCTATTCTGCAGTAGAAACCGTTGGCTCCTCCACGTCTTGTCTTCAGTTCTGAAGTTAAATATTCCGTTCGTTTTCTGGTGGATACGAATTAAGCTGGGTCGAATCAAAACTTAATACGTTTCGTTACCGCAAATCTCCTTACTGTTATTGGTGTTTGGTTTATTGTCAAAACGTAATAAGGTAACTGATTTGTTTTAATCTGGTTGCTTTCAAGAGAACGGGTGTATAGACAGACACAGAGAGATAGATTGTTTGCTATAACCTTTGTTTCTATTTGACATCAATTCTTCTTCGCATTGATGAACCAGAGAGTGGAACTAGTTTATGAGATCAAGGAATTGATTTAGTTTAAGGGAGTGGATAAAGGTGATAACTATAATATTTGAGATTATTAATTAAAAAGATTCAGTAGTAATACAAAGCAGTATTTTTAAGGCGTAGGAATTTATCATCTCCATAATTCTTTTGAATGAAGTTCTTTTTAATAATTTCGGGCGTCGTCAGTGTGCAAGTTCCGAACAGTATGGTGTTTCATCGATTAGATGTATTAGTTTATTTAAAAAAATAATAATAAAATTGTTTATTTTATTTACATTTTAATAGCGGTAAATTTGTAAATTGATTAATGTTAGCTAGAATGTTTTGAGGTTAATTAATTATCTCAAAGAATTATCTAAAAGTGTAATTAAGTGGGAGTTTAATGTCTACATAACATATACGTCCGTGTTATGCGTAAGTGTTGTAACTTGTACTAGGTGAGAAGGTTGGATTTGGAATTTCACGGGTGTACTTTCGACGCTGTCATTATTAATGTCAGTGTTATAGCTACTGAAAGCGTCACGACGCCAGGAATTATGTAAGCATCATGATTGGATTATGATTTCTGCATTAAGGTCGTAAATTAATTCATCCTCTATGATTTTTATATGTAATTAGAAATTATCTTGTTATGTGGCAAATCAAAGGGGTTATCTGAATTTACATGGACACTAATGATTTCAACAGGCCATCAACCGAGTTAATCGCATTATTATAATTCAGTGTTGCATAATTCATTAGACTATTGATAGGTTCGTTAAGCTTTTCTGGATTAAAACACAGAATTTCTTTAGTTAAGGTACAACGCAATTTTTCGACAGAGAAATTATTTGAATTTTCTGATGTGAAATTGTATAGCAAGTAAAAATTTGAATTTAACTGCAAAATACTTACAAAGTCCCAAATTTTGAAAATTCTACATTTTACATACGTTCATTCTAAATTTGAATATGGTTACATTATTTAGTCATCAGTTAATTGGCACTCCAACAATTGTTGCTTCCCGAGGATAAGCTAAGGAAATATTGTAACGGGGTTCATTCGGCGAATGGATTCTTCCATGTTTTTTCGACGTTTCATGACCCCTAGTATATGAAAAAATACATCTCCGTTTCCGTCTGTCCATCTAGCGTCTGCTTGTCGTCTGTGTCGATTTTTACTAGACAAATGTCTCCGAACTTACTGAACCAATTGTGTTGTCAAATTTTGTATGTATATTAGGAATATCGTGTATACCAAAATTTATCTAGTTATCCCATCAACAATTTGATGACGTCGCGTTAAGTTTTTATTCTAGGTATCTAAATTTTCGCAAAATAGTCTAAATTATATAATAACCTGTTTATGTTTTTATATTTGTCATACGGACTTCAACATAGTTTCTCAAATATTTGAAACGTTTTACGACAGGATTCATGTAAAATGGGAAATAATTTGATTGTTGTTGAATACTTCAAGTACAGAGGTTTCAAATTCGGAATGGGCGTGGTGAGATTTTTGTTGGAATTAATTGCTTTAAAAAATTGTCGTCGGATACAATTACTATAGACGAATTTACTAATCATTTTAAATATATGCCTATACTTGGTATTACACTTGCGCTACCTGCAATAAAAACGGTTGTTGTCATAGTGTTAATTTCTACTCGTGATAATGCGTCAGCGTTAGTGTTTTGTTTACCTTTCTTGTAAACAATGTTGTAGTCAAACTCTCCAAACTTCAGTTCCCATTGTTCTAGAGAAGAATCTTTTTTTTTAAATGCACTATACAAATAATTAAAATTAGTAAATATAGATCGTTTTCCAAACAAATAACCACTTAGTTGAATTTACCAAATCCTGAAAGCCGGTGTTGAAAGGTCATTAACAAATAAAATAAATGCCGCCACAAAAATTCTACATCAATTAGAACCGGATTGTTTTTCTGGTAAAACGCGATCGGAAGAATCAAGACCGAATTCCGAAGCCGGAATGTTTCAAATTTAAAATTGAATAGTAATGTTAATATTGTGTCTCCCCCTTGCATCAATATTACTAACTGTAACGTCACAATCAATTTTGGAAAATAAAAAATACACTTTTAACTCCAGAATTTTTTATTTATAAAATAGATTTCGTTTATATATTATTTAATTTTACAATTATTTTCTTAATGAGTAGAAACTGAAGAAATTGCAAACAATTTTTTTTTTTTGTACAAAAATAGAAGTCAAACTTAATTACAGAATTGTAAAATATTACTGTGGAACCGATAACTTCATTAACAACGGCTTTGTGTCACATAAAATGAAAACTCTGTTGTAAGTTGTAATAGAGGAATGACAGTGGAATATTAATCCAATTTTAATCTCGACGAGTCGATGAATAAATCAGGGAACCATTCTTTGGCGCTCCTTCGTCCGTTATATTGACTGGGATTATGCTTAATAGCAAAGCGTGGGTTCGAAAAGCGGAGAAACAAGTCAATCAGTTGAAAAATACACAATTTATTAATATAATTTGCAAACAGTTGTAGCTAAGTGTTAAAAAAAACTGAAACACAAAGGTGGACGTGTAACTTCCAAATATGTTTACAGGTTAATTTCTTCATTTTCTACGGGATTTTGGCTGCAGAATTTTCGATAAACAAATAATTTAATTGTTTCATAAATTTAATAACGAAACATTTATTTATACAGGTTACCGGACGAACACAATATTATGCATGCCTATCTTTATACGAGGATCCATCATCGGAGTAGTCCAAATGGTCAATAAACATTCCGGATTATTTACCAGAGAAGACGTAGAAGCTTTCGAAATGTTTGCAGTGTATTGTGGGCTAGCCTTACATCACGCTAAGCTTTATGATAAAATACGAAAATCTGAACAGAAATATAAAGTGGCTCTAGAAGTATTAAGTTACCACAACAGTTGTACAGAAGAGGAATATCAAGTTGCACTGAAAAAAGGAGTACCCAATAAATTAATCGGAGTAGACGATTATTACTTTAACCCTTTCGCAGTCGAAGATTTCCATAAAGCCATATATGCAATGTACATGTTTGTTGATCTTTTTGGACTCGGTAGATTCGACAAAAACTGCCTAATGAGGTTTTCTTTAACCGTTAAGAAAAATTACAGAAGAGTGCCGTATCATAATTGGACTCATGGGTTTTCCGTAGCCAACTCGATGTATAGCCTCATAAAGCATTCGGCGGGAGCTTTCCGGACTAACGAAGTAAGTATTTCTTTTTAACAGTTCTGTAAAAGCTAATTTAATGTAAACCTTCACTGTGGCGCGTATTAAAGCCCCACGTAAATATCTTATTCTTCTGAGGCGAATTTTTAGCTTTGATTGAGGCAAGGATCCGTCTGAATGCTTTCCGATCTTTCTTTACTTAATTATTCAATTTAGTTCAACAATATAAGGTTGATTAACAAAAAGGCAAACATCAGCGGCCATTTTAGTTCAAGTATTTTTGATTAAGTGTTTGGGTGGCAATTTTGTTCTATTACCCGAACGATCTTTTGTTCGCTTCGTTACACTAACTTATTCTATTAATATTTAGATATACAGTTATATGCGAAATAAAAAAAACATAAATGTTCAGACTATTCACACAGTTGATCGCAAGATCACAGGCGAAATATTGTTAAATATCAATTTAAAAAAATGAAACATTTTTGGTTTTATTTATCGATCGCATGCTCGCAAAACAAAGCTATGCTCTTATTAATCCTAATTCTGTATTATCCGTCGATGGAGTATGCTCCTTGTTTAAATTTTTTTCTGAAAAATGTGGTGAAACACCCCATGAACAGGAATTTGCATCCAAACTCAACATATTTTGACGGTTTGAACGGCTATAAATAATAAATATTTCGTGCTTTCACCGAGTTTGGAGTGAATCAGGAATTAACCGCTCTCGACGTAAAATCCTTTATAAAATGCTTTTATACGCCTGTCAAAGCATACTTTTGCAGCTCTTCAATTATATTGATAAAACCAAATTTACATATGAATTTTGTATACAAATACAGCTAAAATTTAATACGTTGGGAAAAGTACCTAATCACTAGAAACACAACAGATAGGTAATTACACATACCTAACTTAATCAACCTTAGAATTACTGTGTAGGAAATAGTTATTTTGCTGGCCAATTTGCAATTTTATAAGGGGTAGAACTTTATAAAGTAAATGCTGAATAAAACATGGAAGGATTTTCATTAGAACAAATTGAATGTTACGTCGAGGTAATTAGTCGGAGCTGCTTTGAAACTGTGGAAGTATAGATTCGTTTTACATCTACTGTGTGCTTTTTTAGGCCGCCAGTTAATCAATAACTTGAAGAATCTTAATGCACTTATCCATTTAACCATGAAGTACTTTAATAATCCAGTAACTTTCCTAATGGATCACGATAGTAAACCGGCATTGTTTTCCAATTTTCTTATTGTATCTGTTTTAATGACTTCCTGTTGAGTTGATCTACGTTTAATCTACCTTACAATTCCAGTGCCTGGCGCTATACATAGGGGCACTATGTCACGACCTCGACCACCGTGGAAAAAACAACAAGTTCATGCTGGAAACTGAATCTCCGCTCGCAGCGATTTACTCCACGTCTACCATGGAACATCACCACTTCAATCAGACTGTGACTATTTTACAACAGGTAAAACGTTTCACAAAAATTTGTTTTAACATAAAATTCTGTTAATTTTTTATTTTAATTTTTTGTGTAGTACACAAAATGAATCGTTTCACAAAAATTTGTTTTAACATAAGATTCTGTTCATTTTTTATTTTAATTTTTTGTGTAGTAAACAAAATGAACATCCAGATTTTGTTTTTTAAATAAAGCCTCTTAAAGTTTCGAAAATAACCTCGAGATCTTTAACTTCTTAAATGCCAGACATGTAAAAATTCTTCATGTCATTTAACATTAGAACCGTAAATTTGAGATTTGAACTCAATTTTTTAACTCCCTACTTTTTCACGAGAGACTAAATCTTCTGCAAGACAGGAACAATAAAATTCGTCGACACTATTCTTCGAAAATTTCAATTAACAATTAACAGTTTATTAAAAATTATGCATGACATTACAGAAACTAATAGTACACATGAGTTTTTAACTAAGCAAAACAGAACATGTCGTATTTGCTCATAGAATATATCAGTAAAATTTCGGTACTTTAATAATAAGTACCATAAGGTACCGTACCATAGTACTCAATTATTATCATCCATATTATACACCCCTGCAAAGTTTCAAATACGATAATTAGTAATAGGTTAAAAACGACTTCCTAGATTTTTTGACATACTTTGTTAGTTACAGATGAAGCAACGTGTTAAAAATGAGAAATGACGTTATTTCTAAGTTATTAAAAACAGTTCATGAAGACAGTAAATTAAATTTACACTGAAGAAACATTAAAAAAATTAAAACAAGTTCCCAGAGATTAAAAAAGAAACACTTTAATGTTTTTAAGAATTTGTAGAATCACGATAAATTAACATTTCATAAACTTCCTCGACGTAACACTGGAAATTTAATGGCTCACTTCCATCAATAGCCATCATAAATAATTCAGAAGTTTCTCTTTATTAAGCGCCACGATGAAAACTTACTTAAATTGTTTTTTAATTATTAACGTGTACTGTTACAGCAAGAATTAAAATACTCAGCAAAAATTTAATTAGTATTTGATCGAAATGCAGTGAGGTGGAAATTACTTTGATTATTACGTATACAACTTATTTACGAATTTATATGAAATTTTATACTGATTTATACATAAATTAATTTCTTTGATGAGGTTTTTTTCTCATTTTGATGATTGCTGAGGGAACAAAATTTATACTGAAAGAATATCACCTAAACAATAACAAGAAAAGAATTATATCAATAACAGTCCAACAGGAGAATTTAACACGGATAAGTAATCTTTCAAAAGCTATATCGTTGGTTGTTATTTAACTGGACTAAGGAACTCTAAATTAAATGCTAAATATTTTTATTTGTCAAAGTTTACCATTACGACTCTCTTCTTCTAAAAGTTCTGTATGCATTCACTCGTATTTCGAACTGTACCTACTAGGAATTTTAAGCAGAAGAAATGAAACAGAGAGCAAATTAATTTTTTAAATTATAATGTCCCGATATTTTGTCCTTTAATACTTATATATCGTCAACTGTATGCTTAAAAAAATATATTTTTAAAAAACATTAAGTCGTCTAAAAAATATCTGGAAAATTATTAAAAATAATAGTGTTAAATATTTCTTCCCTGAGAATACGTTTGACAGATCTATTAAAGATGTAGCAAAATGTATATTATTTCATTCACATCAAAAGTGTCATAGGTAATGTCAATCCTGTAATATGCAAACTAAAATCATCAGAAGAGGCTAATGTTTTTAATTTTATAAAAATACAATCATGTCTTCTAGCTTTTCTTGTAAATTTTCACATCTGAAAAAATACAAACTACATGATCACAGCTGCTTTTAGCTAATCCATTCTAAGCAATTCATTAAACTTTGCAGGAGGGCCACAATATCTTCGCCAAACTTTCAAGTGCTGAATACAAACAAGTCCTAAGTTTACTTAAACACTGCATCCTTGCCACCGATTTGGCACTGTTCTTTCCCAATAGGGCTAAACTAAATGTGTTGGTCCAAGAGAACGCCTTCTCATGGAATAATCCCGAACACAGGCTTTTACTGCTGGCAGTATCGATGACCGGAAGTGATTTAAGTGCTAGTGCAAAACCATGGGATATCCAAGTAGAAACTGTGAAAGTCATTTTTGAAGAATTTTATGAGCAAGGTGATGCCGAGAGACAATCAGGAAGGGTACCGATACCTATGATGGACAGGAACCAACCTGATCAACAGGCAGCTTCGCAAGTTGGTTTCTTAACTGGTATTTGTGTTCCTTGTTACACTATACTGCGTACTCTTATTCCTGAAACGAAACCTTTGTTGGACATGTGTCAAAAGAATTTAGAGCGTTGGCGCAAAATCGACGATGAAAAGAAAGAGAAACAAAACACGATTTAAACATTGTATCAAAATGGATAATATCTCCTTGTTCTTAATATTAATTGTGTTTGCCTGTTGATTTATATCTTCAAATTAAAATAATCATAAAACAACAAGCGAGTGGTTGTGTTTAAAACGAATTTTGTTCTTAATGAAAATATTCTTTCTATATATAAATAAAATAAGTTTCTTTTATTGTTTCAAACAGTTTTGTAACCAAATATTTGAAACGCTGTTTAGTTACTAAGGAAGCGCTAATAAGTACACCACTCAATTGTCATTTGATGTTGTATTGACTTTGTTCTAATAATGTGATCTTTTTATCGATTATTAGTTTATAGGAGTATTAAAGTAAGGCACTCCAAAAGGGCAGCGTTTTATTTAAAATGCGTAACCTTAATTATCTAAATAAAAAATAAAAACCAAGGGGGAGATTCTAGAAACTGCGATAATATGCAAATCGCTATCGAAAGTGCAAATACAATGCAACATGTTGCTATGGTTTTCAATTTTCAGATCCTTGCAAGGCCTTATCGTGTTTAGAGAATCTCCCCGCAACTATATTCATACAGTATTCTATCTCAAATAACCGATACAATTATTTTAAAACAACAAAATAATGTAGGGAGAAAACAGTACCTGACCAAAAATTGACCCCGACAAAAATATAAAAATACTACTTGGTGTTTTAAAACGATTCTTTGAAATTTGTGTAGAACTATTATTTTTAAAATATATTATAAGCAACGTAAATTTTCGAGCAAATATCCTGTCAAAATTCTTCCTCGGCCTTGCTGTTACCAAACAAAGCAACTGCAAATTGTAAATTTTCAACCACCACTGTTAAAAAAATATCATCACTCTAAATTCCGTCTTTCCTCTCAGAAAAATAAATCTAAATCTTTTCAAAGGGGTAGTTCAATTTAAAAAACAAATCACTTTCTTTTGGCGAAACCAAAACTGCTAAGTTCACTTGTATCTTGTAATAATGTAATTAATCGTTCATTGGGATGGAACATGCTGTATATTTAAACAACAATGTACTATAATAAACTTTCTAACCATCTCAGTATTGAATTCATAAAATAAAATAACTGACCAATGTTATTACATTTTACAGTATTTTTCCATATCTAATGACGATTCTCTTTTATATGAATTGTAATAGATAAAAATACATCGCTGTATAAAAATTCTACATTTTACTATTTTTCTAGTCCTTATGTGTAACTGTTAACTGTACCTTTGTAATTCATAATGTTGTCACGTAATTAACATTGATTAATATTAACTAATAACTTCTGTATTTTAGGTATAAATTAAAATCACAAATTATAAAATGTATTTTCTGAATTTTAACTGGAATAAACGATAAAAAAATTCTTCTTGTAAAATCAACTGAATTACAGTTAACCCTTATAAGCTGCACGTGTCCCAAGATCCTATTGCGGTGAGACTTTGACATAATTAATACAGAGTTGTTCACGAGAAGCTTCGCGCCTCAAATATTCAAGATGCAACCAGAAATACAATTTCAATCTTTAATATTTTATACCATTTCACATACTTTGGAACCGCTGAAGGTACAAGTTTGAAATTTGAAACTTTTCGATGAGTAATCAAATAGTGCTAATTGTCCTCAAATGGAGACGCTATGACATTAAAGTGTCCAAACTATGCCATATAGCTAAAAAAATTAAACAGCACAGAGAGTGGAGTGACCCCTCTTCTGAGAGCTTATTTCATTCTACACACGTTACCAAAGTTAAATGCTTAAAAAAATATATTATCTTAATAAATGCTTGATATGAACCCCTTAGACCTCTTCACCACAGGAAAACCTGTTATCTGACATTTCAACCAACAGTGTTGAGAAATCAGTTTTGAACATAAAGTCGTCTAATTAATTTAGCAGTGTTGAATTTTTTCAAACTTTCGTATTACATATATGTAGTAAAATAAGCTCTAAAAGAGGAATCATTCATACCTTCAACGGTCCTAAAGTTACAGAAAAAGATGGGACTGAGTGACTTGACTTTAACCCAAACGAAGATGCAACCCAAAATACATTTTCAGTTTATCAAAAATATGTATTAAACCTCTAAGTCTCAGTCAGACACCAAAATGTATTTAAAGATTAAGAAGACGTATATGAATTTAATTTCTAGGGAATATACAAAAAACGCTTTTTGGCAGTTCTGTTTTATACAGAAAGTTTTCTATATAGAAGAGCACCAGAAAACACAATTTTCAAAATAATAGAAATTGGTTGCCAGTGCAGCAGGTAATGATCGTTTATGCATCAAATACTGAAAGGAAACTAATTTCATCCCTACCATTTAACGTTAGTTCAAAAATTAAACCCATAGATCATTCTAAAAGAGTAGCCTTTTGCAAGTTTTTCTAAGGGCATCAAAATTTTAATCACTTCTTTAACGATTAGGTGCGTTTTTCGGATGAAGCAAACTTTTCACACAATTGTGAAATTAACAAACATAACTATCCTTAGTACAGTCAAGACAACGTGTACTGAATTAGAAAAGAACATTCCACTCACTCCACATATATTTGGTGTTGGATGTTCAGGAACCAAATTATTGGTCTCTTTTTTTTTAGCAACACGGAACGAAACGGAAATTCTTATGTAAATTTCGAAAATGTTAATTTGGAAATATGACAAAATTTAGGGTTTCAAGAGAACGGTGTTGATCATAGAAAGGTCCAGGATTACCTTGACGTGACCTTTCGTGACGGGTGGATGAGGAGGGGTCTGTTAACCCTTGACGCCCTAAAAGTTCAGATATGCTGCCTTTAGATGTTTTCTGTGGGGCACAGTTAAAGAAATAGTTTACCTAACTCTAGCTAACAGCATGGAACATTTGGATAATAAAACAAAAAACAGGAGAAGCAATAAAATCTATGTTACCAGATGTTCTAATGTGGATGAAAATGTTATTTAGCAATAGGACTCGGACATAGAAAAGAAATGGTGGACAGAATTTAAAGCAATTGTTACATTAATTAAAATTACTAGATATGTTTAATCTTCCTCACAAATAAATCTAATAATCCTTTGGAAATGTATTCTGGGTTACGGTTCCAATTCTGTCCGGCTTATTATTAAGGTCGTGAATCATCCTATGTAAGTGTATAGTACAGTAGCAATAATAAAGAAAGAAAGGGTAAGGCAATGTAGCATGCTGAGCCCACTAATGTTTATCTTGGGAATAGATGAAATCGCCAAAAACAAACTAAAAATTACAGCCAATATAGAATATAAGTACATAAATCATGGACGTAAATGAACTTTTATACGCCGATGACCTGCAAACCTGCAACTCTTACGAAACAACATAAAGGCGAATAGAAAAATGGAAACAATTACTGATGAAATATAACCTGACTATATGTTTTAAAAACACATACATAATAAGTATTTTAAAAAGACATAAACAACAATAATATCAAACGCACTAGAAAAGTGTGACCTCGTACTACAACGTGAAAACATATAAAGCTGCCAAAGAATAAAGTGGGAAGGATTATAACAATGTACAGAGTATTATGTATTACCTTCTTCAACAAAAAAAAAAAAAGATTTCGAAAAAACCTAATAAGGTTAGAATCTACGAAACACTAGTAGTGCTTGCTGGAAATTAAAAAAAAGAAATTCGAGGCATGCAAAATGATAATGTTAAGTAAAACAGAAGAAGTGACGAAATTGTATAGGTTAAAAATGAAGGGAATAATAGAAAAAAATAAAACTTAACAATTAAAATGATCCGGGTATAGGTATATTTAGTAAAAATATGACAGAATAGAATAGTTACAGTAAAATGATATAGGAAACGACAACGAGGATAAGTAGAAGGCACAGGAGATCAAGAAATACTTGAAATAACCAAATAGCCCTCACCCCTGAGAAAGCTGGATGAAAACTACTAATAATTTATAGAAAATTGTGGAGAAAAGTCACAACCTCGACACCCATTATAGAAGAGGAAGGATAGATAAGTAGGTAAGTAATTCTATTGTTACTACTTTTGTAATGTCGTAGGTGTATATAATAGACACTTTTTTTACTTAGACACGCATCTACAAAGTCGGGTTTACAGTTTACCGGTTACTAACACATTTGCAGCAAGATTTACACTAAATTTCTTCTGTCTTTATCTTCAAATATGCAAGCGGAGATGTGTAAGTTAAAATCTATATACATATGTAGTTACTCCATATTTGTTTTGTAATACTTATATTGTGAAAAAACATTTTTTGTTATAAAATATAAATAGTAACTTAAATTTAACAGTACATAAACATATTTTAAAACATCATGTAATATCACATCTGGACCAAGATTCCTTAATTTTTTTTACTATGTTGCCTAAAATTCTTCTATCTCCCCAGATCTCAGTTTTAACGCAACGTTCTAATTTTCTGTCCAACACGGATGTGTTTAAAAATAATTTTAAAGATTCAATTTGTTTAATTGTAGAGGAATTAAAACGAAAATTATCTAAAACATAAATCTTGTTTATTCTACAAAGCTGCAGATTGTGCAATTCGTCAAGTGCTTAACTCGTTTGATTAGTTGAATTTTACAGCAAAAGAATAGTTAAATTAAAAAAATATTACATCTCTTTTAGAGACTGTGAATTTTTACACTTTTCTACTTTTGGCAAATTTTAACAACAGACCAGCAAAATCCATTTTAAATAGTGAAAATAAAAGTTCAACACTGCGAATTACTGTTTATTAGACGAACTTACCTAAAAAACCTATCGCGATTGCATTATCAGATATACCAATGGATAAATCGGTTTGGAAATTCCATCCTCTACCTTCGAAAATAGTGCCATCGGTGGTAATAACAAAGTTGTAGATAATATCAGGCAGTTTCCACTCATTCATATGTTTACACTGTAGTTCCTGCACAAGTTTCGCGCAGTGGGATTTGCCATCGCAACTACTACTACTGTTTGTTTGAAGAAATAAAACTCTTTGTACAGGAAGTTTCAACTTAGGCATTGTTGATGACGCTACGTGCGCTTTCCATAGTTCCCTGGATGTAAGATTATATACTCTCGAGTCTTTCCATTCGTGTCCTAAAAGTTAACAGTACTGAATAAAATATGTTCATGTAGTAGAAACATTCACTCATGATCATGAATTAGATATGGAATTCTCTTACATACGACCTACTATATGTTACCAGTAAAGTGGAAAATTCTAACAAATAAAGAATAAATAGTCGACAAGAATGCCTTATCATTCTACATTTTTGTCTAGATATTCTGCAGATGATGTAACAATATCATATCTAATTAAATTATTCACGGTGAAATAACAATTTTCTGGGAGTTATATTTAAGTTTGTTTCTGGATGTTAGAGTTACAGTTTGATAAATGTGGTTAACTAAGTGTGTCAAAAAATATTATGGTAAAGTTTTAGTTCTTACTGCACTAATCACAAAATTTTCGAGTAACAAACATACTTGTTTTACGTCAAAGTGAATCTTTTACACGACATACACCAACAAATTTCTAATTTTCCACTTTATGAACTAAAAATGTTAGTTTGAATTAAATTAAATTTACAACTGAATGCCAGTTAGTTACATGCAAATATTAACTATAAAATAAGATTACCTTCTGTCACTAATAAATATGTGCCAATGACTAATCCTGCGAAAAAAATGAGAAGCAAAATTACCACAAATATTATTTCATAAACTTGCAAACCAACTTCAGCACATCGACAAATTTTTGATAAAAACGATGCTTGCCCATTGTCAATATTATCTTGAACGGAGTAACTTTGATTCCGATTATTATTTCCCACTAAAAATATTTTTTCTCCTTAATAAACTTTACCAGAAATAAGAAAAGGAAGTTAAAATCAACTCACGTATCGGTCTTCTCAGCTCACTAGCACTCATTTTGCTTTAACCTTTCCTCAAATAAAACTAGTAGTTATCTTTTTTAGCAACATTGGATTGTATAGGAGGAAATTTACTACGACAAAACAAATATGATAAGAGTAGGTACCACAGATAAAATGTTAATAGTAGTGATTTGACTTCTCCTATCAGTTGTGTTTGTTTTAGATTTTCGAAGGCCTATCTGTTTAGCGTATAATGTTCGTCAGCGAAATAAAATTAATGTATAAAACAAACTTATACTGTATTGCCAATATTCTTTAATTATTGTAAATAAATACTACAAAAAATGTTTAATAAAGCTTTATAAAAAAAATCAAATCTTTCTTCGCACGAGTTGCATTTTTGGAGTTTTTGATTATACTTTTCATTATAAAAAAATCCAAAACAGGGAAGTTTTGTAATACATACTTACATAAAAACGTAAATGAAATTTCAGTTTAAGAAAATTACTAAAAGTTTTCAGTATTACACGTTATTTTTCCTTTAAGAAACATTTCTGTAGCCGTTTCACAGGCTGAATCCTTTATCACATTATACACCTCAGACTTTTAGATGTTTTTTAAATTCCAGTCCCAAGAAACGTGGTATTGTAAAATGGTCTTTTGATAAATTTGTGTTTCTTGAAGTTAACAGCAAGTTTCTTTTTTGGAAAATTAAAAGATATATATTTTTTGCAAAAACTGTTTACTAAACTGATTACTCTGACACTTTTCATACTTTAGCATTAATGTAAAGACTGATCAACCAATAACAACAATAACGTTCTCAAAATACTGTTAAATATAAGTATAGTACATAAAATAACCAGTGTAACCTCTTAACCAGTGCTTTGATGGTCTATTTGTAGACTTCCCCAAAGTTGCTATAAGGTTATCTGAACAACAACATTTGAACTTAGATCTCATTTATTTCAAATAGGTCAAATGAACACTAACGAGTAAAGGATAAGAGTCAGGTGGAATTTTATTTGCCTTTATAAGCGAGTAGGCAAATCCATCGACTGTCTCTTTTGGATTAGATAAATGAATACCGTTTTAAATCATATCACTCATATTTGACGCAATACAAGCAGGGGTTTTATTCGAGTTCGTAAATGATCAGAGCACCTTTGGGTCAAACTTAATACAATTATTTTTTGCAAATAAGACTGTACTTCTCCTTTATTTTTGATTTTAATTGAGTTCTCAAATTTTTTAAAAGCAAATAATCGTTAAGAAAATTAGGATTTCTATAATTTTTTAAAACGAGACTTTAACCCGTTAATAATGTCACTGTCAAACATGATTGGACAACTGCTGGAGGTATTTACATATTAACCTAATTTATTAATTTTTAGTTAACAGTACAAAATAAAATTGTAGAAAAGGGATAATGTACATATTATCAATGTTAGAGTATTCATCATACTGTTGGCAAGATCTCATATAGTGAACAAAAATTACGTTTCTAAAATTATTTGATTTTTGGATTTAGAGCCAACAAATTGATCACTGTCAGTTACAACAAGACAATTCACTATTTTATTGTGCTGGTCCAAGTTGTAAAAGGTCATAGAATTAATTTAATAATTAGTAAATACATTGGAAACAAGCTGAAACTGAGAGTTTATTCATTGTGTTTACGACGAACTCTGAACAGTTAAAGTCACCCAAGTTCATAATTAACTGATGTTTATACATATAAGACATGGAAATAAAAAAATCAAAAAATAGTATTTAATTATTATTATAGCAGAGAGGTGATACACCTATAAACAATTAGAAAGTATATATTACGGAAATTAGTATTCATTTTCACTATGAATAAGTCTATAACAGGTAAGATATCACATATGTTATCATATCTTGAGTTATCAAGTTCTCACAGGTACTAGTGGGCATAGTACGGTCACCAGCTAAAAGAATATCTCCACTTCTTATATGATTACATATTTTAAATTTGCGACTATTCCAGAAGACGTTTTGATTAGTAATATCAAATATCAAAAATCAGTTAGTTTGAAATGAGATACAAGAATTGTGGGTGCATAAAACCTACTGATTTTTGTGCACGAACCTCTAACATTTGGATAATAGCACAAAAATGAATCACGTTTAATATTAAATAACCGACTTGTGAAAACTGATCAATGGTGTTATATAACCTTTTATTACGAGTCTTCATCTTTAGGTTACAAAATTATGGAACGTTTTTTCTTAACGACCATATGAGCACAGAGAACAGTTTTTTCCGTATTTTCAGAAGTTGACTGTACCTTCACTTCACTCAAATCATTTTCGTCCTGCTTTTCTATCAATGTCAAACAGTTTTCAACGGACTCTTTCAAAGAACTAATTTTGAGGAACACTTCTAAGAAAAGACAATTATTGCAAAGACAATAATTTGGGAACCTATTTAGTCAAATATTTTTGCGTCTTATCAAAATTTTTACTTCTCTAGCTGATCCTATCCATCAGACGCATGGCTAATTTCATGCTTTCTAGACGTTTGATGGCCACTAGAGCATGAAACAATAGGTATCCCATTTCCGTGGCTGTCTATCGTTTGTCTGTGCCGATTTTTATTAGACAGATAATCTCAGGAACTACTGGACCAATTGTTAATTTTTTTAATATAAATATATATATTAAAACTAAAAGAAAGTTGTATAATCATCCCCGCTAACAATATGATATCACCTAAAAATTATTGCATAGTAAACCCCCCCAAATTGATTGATTCTTACCTACAACAAAATATTAGCCAGTCAAAAAGTATTAAACACTGCTTTAATTGTATACATTAGTACGGAAGGTGCATTTGAGATTTGCAAAAGGAAATCTTATATCTCAATTTAAACAGTAGTATATAACAGTTTATTACATTTTACGTATACAATTATTGCTTGCAAGTCATTTAATATCAATTACAGCAATAAATAATAACACTGTAAACTACATTCTAAAAAAATAAATGTCAATAAAATACTTAGAAATAAGTCACGCTTGTGACCACAACTAAACAATTCAATGTAAAAATGTAAATAATTTCTGCATAATACATTTATTTTGAATGTCATAAAATGAAAGGAATAAACAATGAAATAAAATCTAAATGCTAATCTAGAAACTAAATCAATTTTACAATTACGTAACTATCTATTTTTTCTGCTAAATTCCTCTTTCTTGTATACTGATTTGTACAACAAAAAACAGTACGATAACTGGTACCGTTACTAAAATTTCAACTGGTGATGGATTTTAGTGGCATTCTCTAGCATTTTATCAAACATCATGTGCAATAAAAGCATTTACAACAAATATTACTGCTATACTAATAATTAACGGTTATGTATTCAACGAAGAATAAGTAGATGAAAATTTGCCTAGTCAACTTCAAGTTTTCGAAAACTTCCGGGCAGACTTCCAGTATCGTCTTGACTAGATTTATTTCTCCTACACAAGATACCTCGATCGCTCAATAAATGCATGCTATCATACGATAACAAGAGATCCCTTTTGGCGGCTAATTCTTTCTTCCAAAGATCAATCATATCTTTCATTGGCATTACACCTCCAAATTCAAGTGGAAGGCATCGTTTGTTCACATTATTTTGTAAGTCAGATAATGAACTGTGTAGCTAAAAAAAATAGAAAGTGATTAAATATTCTTAATATTGACAATTTCACTTACCGTTATCCTTTCTTTTAACTTCTGGTTTCTGATATTAGAGAGTATGAAATCATAAACGTATTTAAAACTTGAGGGAAAATTTATAACATGAATTTCTTTATGTCTCATCGGTATAGATTGCTACAAAATGAAAGCAAAGGTGAATGTTATGAAAAAAAAGTGAGAATATATGTACCTCTCCCCAACGAACTATTGTTGCAAAATCTGTAACAGACCACAAAGTAAGAAAAGGAGGACTTAACCCCTCAATGTCAGCAACATGATTAATTCCAAGAATCTGATTTTCTTCGTCGGCCAATAAGGTTTCATATGTAATAGCATGAGCTAAACCTACATCTACGCCCGTGACCTTATGAGGATTGATTTTCTTCACATTATAGAAGATCACTCTTCTTCCATTTGAGTCTCTGTATGGACTCACAAAAATATAACTGCAACACAATAAATTCGGTGTTCATTGGGACGTACTGCCTCTGCTATTAACTAATTACCCGTTCTCGATAAGTGTGCTCTTAAGATAATCCAAACCATACATAAATTCTTTAAATCTTTTTCGAAAATTTAGGTATTTTAAAAGTGTTTGTTCTGCCATGGGAATACTGTACTTTTTAATCCGTAAAAATCTTAGAAGAAACTTATCATCTAAAATAATTAATGAAATTTAAAATATTAACCTCACCTGTTTCGGTTATAGAAACAAAATTCGGTGTAAAACGACTCACCCGTTAAGCAATTCTCAATATCTTGGTTCTTCTTTATCCACTCTCGCAAATGTTGCAAACATTGTTTTCGAGTGTTGTCGTCTTCACGTAGTTCATTTACAGCAATTTTTAAAATGTGATCGAGAATATCGTTCTTTTCCTCACATTTAAATTTTCTCTCTAAAACGTTGTTTTGGTTATCCTTCCAAGGATTGGAAATTATTAGATGCGTTGTCGACATTCTGAAGAACTACGACAAAAGAACATCAGATGTTTATTTATTTACCTAGAATAAATATCGATCTACTTAAAAAGGCATTTATTTAAAATTAATAAAATAATTTGACGAAGTAGCAATAAATTTTATTTTTAGTAAAAAAATCTCGTAAATAATATAGTTTTCTACAAATATATTTTTCTTTGAATATAAAAAAAAATACATTAATACGTTAACCAAAAGAATACTTTTTAACCCGAGGAAACACTTTAATAATACTTAGAAAATTATAATCAGATTAAGAACATTTTACTCTACTGTGACACTGTCCCCAATATAATATTCATGTATGAAGCTTCGTTCCTAAGGTACCTACACAGTTTACCTAGTTTTAATGGAACTAAACTTCTACATCAACTCCCCTAAGTGAGTGATATTGGTTTGTTGTTTAGTTCACGTTTAATTGCCAATATAGCTAAAGCATCCCAGTTTTCGAGCAAGTGGACACAAGAATTCAGAGCATTTATCACAGATCTATCATCATTCCGTGTCTGCTGTATCAAAAATCATTAAAATTTACTTTCCAATCGTATCTCTTAACTTCCCCAATTTTTTAAATTAGATTTTTCTAATTATTAAATTGCAATTTTCAAAATTTGTATCAAATTTTATTTAATTTGTATTGTCACCAAAGAGTTATTTTTCGGTATTTTATTTTTATAGCCTTAATATCTTTAAAAGAAAGTAGTGCTTTTACGAAACACCAAAATTGTTTTATTACGAATATTTATTTAATTTACAGTAAAGTTTTAAATTATAAGTGGTGGCAATTTGTTGACACAAAATTCTGTAAATCAAGATCACGTTTTAACGTTGTACTTTCCAACTTGCAGAAATATCTGAAATATGCATTTCAAATTTATAAAAAACATTACACTTTAATTAAACTTATCGATGACCAGAGGTAAAACGGATGAATTCATTCTGTCATATAACCTTATGCAACAAGATGTTTGTAATGGTTATATAGAAAATTACACTTCTATGTGTTATGTTTAAATTAGCGATGAATTTAATTACAGCCCTGTTATTTCATTTCAATACCAGTAAATCAAAAAAAATGGGACACTTTCTTATTAACTTTCTTCGCGGTAATTGTTTACTTACTTCTTGTGATTTGCGAAACTATGCTCATTAAAAGTAACATGACTCAAATTACATGATCAAACAATTTTCGTCACGATAGGTTTCAAATTGCCCAGACTGACAGAGAAACAAATTTACGAAAAAAAAAATGGAAAAGACAAATTAACAAAACACACATACAGAATAATTTTAACCGAAGTCCTTTTTGAAAATAATTTTTGGTCATCTTTTTTGGAACTACATATGTATAAAAAGATCCTGACGGTTTCTACCAAGACTCTTCGATTTGTTGCCAATATTTTTTGTTGTTCCGTTCTCGTAGGTACACCACTTTTTAACAATATAAAACAGGAACTGTTATGGGCCAATAAAAATATAATGATTTTAAAGTGCTTACGTAAGATCAAGATAAATTCTTAAAATACCTACAAATATATAAAATCTGAACTAAAATTCACACAAAAAAATTGGCCAAAGGTTAATGCGCCGATTAAAAGTTGGTTGATGAGGTAAGGAGAGGAAGCGGACCGGCAGTCATAAGCGGCGAAACAATAAAAAATAAGAATACACACTTTTCAAACATAAACTAAAATATAGAAATGTTCTAACAAAAAATTCGTCTTTGGTATTACGGTAAAGGACAATATAAAATTAATCACCTAACTAAATTACGACGGACCGGCTTCTTCTAAAGGCCATATCCTTCTAACAACAATCTCGTCAATTTTATATTCTTTCTCTTTTGGTTGAACTATTTAAATGTTTACTAATTATGTGGTACAAATCAATTTTTCTTTGCTTTGGAACATATGGTATTTTATTTGTAGTCAACCATTCTATCATGGTTTTCTTTGTTGAGTATTGTTTGGGAACTTTATTTATTTGCTCTGAATGATACGCAGCATTGTCCAAAACTATAATACATTCTAGGGGAATATTAGGAAAGAGATGTTCTTTTAGCCACTTTTCCGTGGTAGTCTCCAGTAGTTGTTCCTGATTTAAACACTAATTCTGTCTTTTTTATAAATCCTTGAGTTGATCCTACATGGACTACGAATAAACGTCCCGAAGAACGAATGCCACCTTTGACACCAAATACATCTTTATTTTGCCAGCACTTTTTTACCATCATGTCATTGTCAATCCAGGTTTCATTTAAATATATGATCAGTCTGTTCTCAGCCTGATAACGCGTAATAGCTCTAAGATATTTTAGTCTCCATGATTTCGGGTCTTTCCATTACGACTTTTCTTTTATTTTGGCATTTTCTCCAAAAAAAAAACCTTTTAAGCGTAAGTTTATTTAAGGAATCTTTGCAATATGGAAAATCTATTTTTTCGCGTATGACCGCCAAGTCTGGTATACGTGGGGACAATTTTTTATTTAAACAAAAATCTTCTATTTCCCTTCTAATTATCTAAAAATCAAAGTCGTTTATTTTGTCCTCTATTCTAAGTCGTGTTCTTTTTTTACCGGCGATGCAAATTTGTCTTCAAGGTTTTCAGTTTTTCTTTTATTGTCTTCGTGTTTTATTCTTCTTATTGTCGTTTCTGACACACCAGTATAATCCGCAACTCTTTTTGTTTTGGCAGCTAAGAGTAAACGTAATGCATTGTTGGACGCTTCTAATTCACACATATTAATTACGTTTGCAATTATTTCTCGCGCACAGCTTTGAATTTGTTTCCCTTTTTTGCTAAAAATTTTTTAATAATAAATAAATTCATGCATATAAATATGAGGACGAAACTGGATCTACATGTCTGGTCGCAATGACAAAAACTGGAAACCAGTTGTCCATGTATAAAAGAAATCAGTCTGTCGCGATGAGGTGTCTATTAACACGCTGAGTTAGTATAGAAGCGTTCCGATTGGAAATTATACGAATTGGCCAAAAACGTGTACAGCAGCGCTCTGTTGGGATAGTGGAACGCGCTTTGCATTCTTAAGGTTCTTTTCTTTCAATCGGTGGACAGGAAACCGTGGTAAAATTGTAAAATTCAACTTTGAAAATTTTATTTTTTTATCATGACCCCCATGAGCTAAAATTAATATATGTTAAAATATTTATTTGTTATAATTGTTAAAGTACAGGTAAGGACGCATTGTATGCATGTTTCTAGTGAGTTTTTCCATACAAAATTTTTTTGATGACGTCATCACCATTTTAGCAAGAACACGTACCTATATTAAATTGTATAGGTGCAGTGTAATATTATTAATAACAGTACTGGGCTCCCAAATTTTCAGGAAAATGGAATAAGCAGTTCAAAAGAATATTAATGCATTGATGAATCACAAGTACAGACTGTTAATATTGTGGATATTTTAAATTTATTCAGTAAAATTGTAAGTTGACGTCATCAGTTTTTAAGAAGGTCGTATACGGATAAATTTTGATTAACGATTTACCATGTTTGCGGTAACCTTAAAACGTTTGCAAGATTTCAGAATACTCGGTTTTACAATTTCAAAGTTAAAGTGTAAAATGTTGTTATACAATTTTTTTTTACAAAAATCTGGATGCTTAGGGTAAAAACTCAGCACGTACTAAAAATTAAAAATCGCACTGTTTGTACCATTGTTAATAACCGATTTTTATGGGTGACAAAAGTGTAAATTTGCCTTATTGGAACTTCTCATATTACCTTTCATCGTACTTACAATATTTATATCTCAAGTAAATATTGTTTATGCATTGTTAATTTATATTAATTTTTTACGTACTCAAAAATAAATACAAGGCAAAGTGTGTGTTCAAAATCCATGTGCACTGTCATCTGATTAAGCTCAGTTCGACCCGTTTGGTCTTCAAATTTTCTGAATGCAGATGTTAGTTATCTTCCTGGGAAGTTACACTCGAATGAGTCAAAAATACAAAAAGTTACAAAAAAGCCAATTTGGTGTTATTTTTATTTATAAAATATTTATTTTTCATGTTAAATTAGGACGGTGATTAACTTCTAATATTTGCACAAATACCCCACTATAGGTAATCAAGTACAGATTTAATACTTGACAATATATAATATATTATGATACAACTTAAAGTCTAACAACTGTACGTTACCAAGCTTATAAACAATTATTGAAAAATAAGCACAAAATACTTTCCCATGTTTAAACAATGTTACGCATTTCTTTTTCCTCTGATGCAATGATTACCAAGTGAAAGTTAAATACAGTACGCCGAGCTTTAATTATTGTTGACGAGTTAATGGTCAAGTTCAAACCATTTTTTATAATTGACATGAAGTTAAAGAACTGCGTGAGAAATTTCCGTAACAAAAAATGTTATTTTATAGACCGGAACAAACGTAACAATTGGTTCAACTATTTATGCATTTTTGCATTTTTAACAATATTTATGTATATAAGACCATTGTCTACAAGGTTTTAAATGAAATGTACAACCTTTTGAAGTTTTTGATTTTTAAACTTACAATTAATGTTCATTATCCCACAATGCTACAATCTCATTTCATGTGGTAATACAAAGTCAAGTCCTTGATTATTCAGCTATGTAGGTAGGTATTTCTGTCACTTTTAGACGTAAAAGTAAGTGCAGCTATGCACTGAATTGTGTAAAGTTATATTTGTATAATTTGTCTGTAAAAACCTGCTCTACAAACCCAGTTATAACTAAATAAAAATAATTGTTAACTGCGTAATTAACTTAATGAACTTAGGCAAGCAAGTTATTTTCTGAATGAACGACAAATAAATAACAAAGAACACTTTTAACATTACTGCAAATAGTTTTCACTGCATTCGGACGCTTGTTTAAAGTTCATTGCAATTAATAAATGATGATAACGTGGTAGTGTGAAACTGTTAGAATTCTTTTTTTTAACTTAAAAAAGTAATGTACTTATATTTCGGACTTGAATCTTCTACCTCAAATAATCTAGATAGTACAACCAGAAATTGCTTCAGTCATGGTCTCAATACTCCAGTTGTTTTTGTTCGCCTGATATTCTAGAAACACAGTTTTTGAACTCGTATGGCTAAAAAAATATTGTATTAGTCATTTTTTCACAACTCCTAGAATACAGAAATCTGGGTTCTCTCTAAATTATTGTGTGTACTTGAAAATCTTTGTAAAAATGATGAAACGTTAACTAAATTTTGTGCACTGTTCATCTCTCCTAAAAAGAGAGAATTTTTTAGTAACCTTATTTCACTTGATGTGTAGTATCCATTGCGACTTTTAAGTTAACTTAGGTACACACCAAAAAAATGTAACTTTAAATTTTCTAATTTACTATTTATTACTTAAATCTTTGCTAAACACTAGTATTGATTAGCAGTACCTACAGATTATTACGTAAATTTTATTTATTTATTCTTTGTGAAAAATTGATAACGTAATCTCAGGAAATTGATTAAGAATTGTAAATATATCCGGGAATGTGGTATTAATTCAATAATACGGTGTCAATTTTTGCAACTGCTTCCTTAACATGTTAAAAAAAGTGAAAAACGGATCGACTTACTAGATATATCGATTTGTCTCAGGTCTGGTTTCTCCAACTTCCGCAAAATTAAAGAGTAATTAACTTAATAATCTCTAAAAATATTAAATAAAACTTTAATGAATATATGCTTCTAAATATGATACAGCTTGTGTTCCAATAATACTTACTTGCTTATGCAAAGTGAATGCTTAGATAGATTTATTTTCCTAAATATCTGATAAACATTTCAATTATTTCCCTTAATAAAATTCTGGTAAGGCAGAAAAATTTTGAACATTTTATTAATCCATGAATCCAAAATGCAAAGATAAATTAAGTTAAGTTCCTTGAAACAGGTTTTTTGCTTTACTCCGCACAGCTATCGCATATATTAATTTAATGTCAAATTTGTTATCACTCATATTAATTAGTTTAATTAAACTAACTGATACAAAAATTGTAAGTACTTACATTGAGACGATGTCAATCTGAAGACAACTGAACCTGAAGAGTACACTTTTTCTGAACTTAACAGAGCAAAGCTGTACGCGAATTTGAAATGATAAACGCTGATTAAGTGGGGTAGGTTACTTTTTCAGGTGGAGGTGGTTACGTCAAGGTCGTGAAATATAGGAAGTGGGTAAGTAGAAAAGTGTTTATGTAATTGTGCAATGCCTTCAATAACTCATGTTATTATTATTTACACACTTCCTCGATGTAGTCGCTATACATTTTAGTGACATACTTTTCTTCAAAATGACGTTTTTTCTCTTGTTTTTAAATGTAGCTGGTACCACCATTTGAACACATAGAAATGTCATAACAGTAAATAGTTAAGCTTTTAAAAGTTGTGTAAGCCTATAATGGCGACATGCAATTAAAGCATCGATTAATTGAAAGTAACAAAGGAAAAAAATGTATGAAAAGACAAAGGAGATTATAATGATAATTATGAGGCTTTCCTCATAAATAATACACGGTGTGTTTAAAACAGACATGTATAACACGACCGAAAATTTTTTAAAAACTTATTACGTTACACAATATATCTGTTCAAAAAAATATCATGATGACAAAAGACCTCTCTATCACTAACCTACTTAGAAGCTTCATTTTTCATTACTGAATTTCTTAAATCCACTAATATGGGTTTATAACATCGATCATCATTTTAAGTATATAATACCAAACATAATATAAAAGTAAATGTGGTTTTGAAATTACTGTTTTATCCTGTGCAGCATTTTTCTATACAAGTTCACTATAAACTTCTTACAAAAGAAAATATTTGGGATTATTGAAATTCATGTGTAAAGCCCTATATTTAAAAATCAATTCACCATGTAATATATTGCACTCAAAAAATACTAATTTACTTATATGATCATAACAGTGATGATTGTTACATTTGTTTTTGGAAAGTTTAGTATTCAATGTTTAGAACTTTGTTTTAGTCGCTTTAATTAATGAACAATTTAAGTAGCAAGACACAAAGGAGAAACTTGGAAAACGTTTACCCGTAGGAATAACTGTGTAGCCTCTAGAAACAGGTTTAATGTTAGAACGGTAGTCAAAGCAAAAAACGGGCAAACGTCTAGGAAAGCAGAACGATACCTAACTAAAATTTGTAAGTTAAGAAATAGTTTTCGTGGTAATAAAAGTTTTAGGTTTTTTTGGACAAGATTATTATTATTATAAATTATTTTAGTTTCATCAGCGTTTTGGAACACGTGTTCCCTTCATCAGAAAATTTCTACAAGACAATGACTTAGGTATGTTAACACTAGATTATCAAATTATTTGTAATATTATTAATCATCTTTCTAATAAGAATACAAATAATTTGTTAAGTTGTTAGTACAAGCCGTCGTTCTGTAAAAATTTCCTGATGAAGGGAACACATGTCCCAGGGCGTGCATGAAATTAAAATCATTTCAATTAATATTACTTAAAAAGAACCCAAAAAAGTTTATTTCTCTCAAAACAATTAAACAATCGAAAATACTAACCGATTAAAGAGAAACACCACAAGACCGCAAGTCCTGATAGTACATCGAGTTAAGATAAGAGATTAGTATTTTCGATTTATTTTCTAATGCTTGAGTGGTATTCGTTACGATTATATAATGAATGTCCACATAATTTATGTATTTATGTATATTTATAAAAATTCAGCGTACAATTATTATAATACACGTTGTTTGCATTCATGGATTCATGCTGGTGCAAAGAAGAAGTAGATGGTTCTGATGATGACGGAGTATCTGAATTGTTTCGAATCTGATTTATGCTTTTAATATGATGTTGTTCGCTAAGTTTTAAGTAAGACTTTAACGAATTTGGCGTGGAATGGTCCGTTAGCCGTTACTTTTAATTAATTCTTGTAAATTTGCACCAGACCTCGCTAATACACTCACTGCAGAAGATTAGTTAGAGTGGATTTGCCTTTTTAGTGTTTGGCGTCAAAAATAAGCGTTCGTCTTCACATTCGAAATTCGTTTGGCCATTATCTTTTCAAACAACCTCAGAAAACAAATCTTCAATTACTTTGTTTTGTGTCAGCCATTTGCGTTCAGCCAAATTTTTCTCATTTCCTTAGATTGCTTTTCCAAAACCAGTATTATACTCTAAGCGATCCGTTGGCATCCCATAATTATTTATGTCTTTAAAAGAAAAAAAAAAAACAACTACACATGATGTCGCTTCATTCCCACGCCAGCCCAATTCTATATCTTTTTTATGAATCAATATAAGTTAAAATAAAGATATGTGTACGCTGTTAAAGTAAAGATGAAAGAGGATCCTTATATTTCAAATGACTTTTCCTTAAAAAAATTGTGATATCGTCATCAACATTATTTTTAGCAAGGACACTATATAATTTGGACAGGTGCAGTGTAATAGTAGTACTGTATTCCCAAATTGTCTGAAAAATCAAGTGGGCCCATCTTGATTTATAATAAAAAAATTGCCTCATTTTTTTGGACGCATTACATAAACAATTAATTCTAAAAAATATGAAGGTATTGATAAACCACAAGTAAATATAAACTCATCATATTTTGCACATTTTAGATAGGAGCAGAATTTATTTGAAAAAATTTTGATCAACGATTTACCCTGTTTGCAAACTGCAATAACGTTAAAACGTTTACAAGATTTAAGAGCATTCGGTTTTGCAGTTTCAAAGTTAAATTGTAAAATCCTGTCATGCAATTTTATCTTTTTTGCAAAAATATAGATGTTGTAATATTGCTCCTTCGGTTAAAATAGCTATTTCTTCTTGTTTTCCGTTTTCGGACATATTTTCACAAATTCAAATTCTTAGTGAAATACGTCAATAACGTTTTATTTTTGTTTTTTGCACTAACAACTTTTTTGAAATTTTTGAAAACGAATTGTGCCATTTTTTTAAAGCTTTAAGGTCGATTTAATCGATTTTACAAAAAATCTTATTTGCATTTCGAGTGTGAACGACGATTTTGGCCCTTTGGCTTTTTATAATACCTTGAACTTTCTGGTATCGGGCTTATAAATCCATCACCATTTCACTGACTTTAAAACAAAATCAAAAGTGGCCCCGCCCACCCACCCCTATTCCGCTTTGATCGCACATTTTATTGGCTCTGATACGGAGATTGAATTTTATATTGACAAATAATGTACTCTAGGACCACATTTTTTTAACAAACCTTTTTTTACTAAATTTTAATTTTTATTTGAAAACCAATTTTACCGTCGGCGTTTACACTTAAATAATAACAAATCATGTAAGGTAGACACAATGAAGTACAATTGTAAATGCCGCCCCTCTGTTCCGGGCGAATGAAATGATTTATTAAGGTGGAGCTTGCGCAAGAAGGAAGAGCATCGGTAATACTGCTTTTTAAAAACACCAGCTTAAAACTTTCTAGTTACCTTGTGTAACAAATTTTCTATTTTCTCAGCAACAGTCCAACAGATTTGTCCAAGATTTAAATAAGATAATACCGTTGTCATTAATTAACAATATTGAGAGTAGCCACTAGAATGAAGAAGGGGTGGGTGGGTGGGACGACTGCTTGCTTATACTGGTCAAAATCGCCTTCAACACGCCCTTATTACAAAAATAAATATTTCGGGACTAAAGTGGTCCATTTGTTTCAAAGGGACTAAATGTAAAAAAAAATCCAAGGAATTAAATAGAAATAAATTCAATTACCATGACAACAATAATTTATTCTTTAAGGTACACGTTTAAATTTATGCTTTTACAATTAACAAAGTTAAATAAACGGTTCTTATTAGCGTCATTTTGAATCTGAGACAAATAAAGGTTGTTATTATTTTTTTTTATAACTACGCTTGATTCTGATGATGCTGAGCTTCCATGTGGTCGTTTTTCGTCGGATGAACACTGCAAGAATCAAGGCATTAGTGAACGTGGAGGGTTGACATTCTTCATTTTGACCAAAAATGTTTTCAGCAATTTGTTTTTTATTACTCATTGAATTCTCACCGTATTCTTCGGCCTCTACTTTAGACTTCCAGCCCCCATGACGTTTTAAAACATCTGCATTAACTCCTGCATCAACAAGAAGAGATGTTGAGATACGTCGGAAATCGTGACCCGTGTACACCGACGCTTCCGGAAGATTTAGAAATTTAGCAATTTTTTGAGGTAGGGAGCTGAAGGTATTTTTGCCAACTGATTGCACTGTACATTTCTTATTAGCATAATATACAAAAAGAACGTGTTTCGTTTTACTCTTTCTTAATTCCATATATTTCCTGCATATTTGGACAAGATCATTAGCATTATTTGACGAAATCTTGACAATGGATGTTCTATCAACTCTGTTCTTTGTGTTTCTGACATTAAATAATAACGAAGAGCCTAAATCTTGAACATCGGCTTGTCAGTAAATCCACTAATTCTGTACTTCTACAAGCATCGGCTAAACCAATGATAAGAGCAACCTGTATAATAAATTTTTAAATAGGATGCCTATAATTCGTTAACAATTTCTTACCTTAACCATTAAACATTCATCATCAGAAGCCTTACTCAAAAATTCATTTACTTGGTCCATCGACAAAACTTTCGATTTTGGAAAACGTTTTACCTAAATATTTTCATGTTCAAGTTTTTAAAGATAAATCACCATTTAAAATTGTTAAGCCGGAATAAACAATTAATGAACAAAATATCAAAATTCAAAATTTAATAGCCACTAAAAAAGAATTATTAGCCCAAATCGAGTGTTTAGGAAAGTATTACCAAAATTTGTTACAGCAGAAAGAAGACGAAATTTGTTATTTAAAAGAAAAAATTAAAAATTAATGACAAATTTGTGATTGCAGGTGAATTTAGAGTGAACAAAGAAGTAATGCATTGAAATGAAAAAAATTGAGGAGGTGGAGCCTCGAGACTATAGTAAAAGCACTGTCCATTACATTTTCTTGTGGTTCTTCAGGCCATGAATCTTTATTAAAATTAAACTATATATTGCCATATCTGCGTACATTACGTCGAAAAATAGAGCATATCAAATTCTACCGAGATATATTACACGAAATTTTTTATT